GATTATGAGGGGAGTGGAGGGCATCAAAGTAGAAGGGAGACTGTAATTGAAACTGTTTGGATCAAATATCATCTTGTCACTACCATCATGCATATCAGTCCAGTTGGCTGCTATATTCTCTGTAGTGTCTGAGGAGAGATTGAACTTTCTGTGTGAAGTCTGATAAACTTTTTGAAATTGTGTAGTATTAGTGAAAGAGGACTGAAATACTAGTGTCTATGTGAACCAGTTCTCTGCTTTTAAAAATAGTTGAAAATACAAGAAAATAACAGTAAACTTAAGTGCGAGACACTTGGAACTGTTGTAAATAGACAAGACTGATAAACATTTGACTATGGCAAAAGTAGCCATAATATTTGAGTTATAAAAAAAATATTTGAGTTATAGCAAGGCATTTGAATGATACTTCTCATGATATTGGTGAGGATAAGATCAAGAGATACAACATGCATGGAGAATTCAGCTGGATTTATAACTGTATATTGATCATACCTGAAGCTGTTAAGCTAGGAGATTTTTGTTTCATTCCTCTCTTGAATAAGACTAGCATATTTACAAATAGATACGGGCTTCATTAGTACACTGGTCTTTTAAAACATTTTTTAGTGAGAACTAAAATTTTAATAAGCTGGAGCTATAGGCCATGTCTACAAAATAGGACATCCAAGTCCAAAAAAGAGAGAAATACAAATAGAGGATGGGGAAACTGTTTTGTAAGAGTAATGCAAGAACAACTCAGTAGGGTTGTAACTGAATGTAATTTTAGTAGGAGTTAGTAGAGTGACTGTGGCTGCCATGATAATCACAATAATGGGCAATAAAATTTTTTTTAACCCACCATGAGGAAGATGAAGATAAATTTTATTTTTGTCTTGTTTTTGGACTCCACATGTAAGTGTGATCGTATGGTATTTGCATTTCTCTGGCTTATTTCATTATGTATAATGCTCTCAGGGTCCATCCATGTTGTTGCAAGTAGCAAAATATCCTATTTTATGGCTGCCTGATATTTGTGTGTGTGAGTGTGTGAATGACATTTTCTTTATTCATTCATGGGCACTAGATTGTTGCCATGTCTTTGCTATTGTGAATAATGCTGCAATAAACGTGAAGCGCAGATGTCTCTTTAGATCCTGATTTAAATTCTTTTGGATATATACCCAGAATGGGATTGCTGGATCATATTGTAATCCTGTTTTTTAAGTTTCTTGAGGAACTATTTTCCATAATGGTTGTACTAATTTATGTTCCCTTCAACAGTGCACAGGAGTTCCCTTTTCTCTACATTCTTGCCACCATTTGCTATTTCTTGTCTTTTTGATAAGAGCCATGCTAACAGGTGTTAAGCAATATCTCATTGTGGTTTTGATTTGCATTTCTGTGATAGGTAGTGAATGATGCTGGACACCTTTTGGCCATCTGTATGTGTTCCTTGGGAAAAGGTCTGTTTTTTAATCAGATTGGGGATTTTGATAGTGAATTGGACAAGTTTTTTATATTTTTTGGATATCCTCTTATTAGATATATGATTTGCAAATATTTTCTCCCATTTGATAGGTTGCCTTTTCATTTTGTTGGTGGTTTGTGTCCTTTGTTGTGCAGAAGCTTTTTAGTTTGATGTAATCCTACTTGTTTATTTTTGCTTTTGTTGCCTTTGCTTTTGGTATCAAAAAAAAAAATCATTACCAAGACCAGTGTCAAAGAGGTTGCTACCTGGACACCTGGGGTGTTCAGTGCCTTTGGCTTCAGGGTCTTGGGGTCTTGGTCTTGAGTCCCGCATCAGGCTTCCCACAGGGAGCCTGCTTTTCCCCCTGCCTATGTCTCTGCCTCTCTCTCTCTCTCTCTCTCTCTCTGTCTCTCTGTCTCTCTCTGTCTCTCATGAATAAATAAACTCTTAAAAAAAAAAAGATCTTGCTACCTGTTTTTTTTTTTTCTAGGAGTTTTATGGTTTCAGGTGTTCAAGGAGAAAATTAAGATGAGAGTTACTCTAGTTTATGTTGATCAGATCTAGAGTATTATCTTCACTCTTGGGACATCATATTAAGCTCTTAAAAGAATGTAAAAAAAGCTGAATCTTGGGAGCATCTAGTTGGTTCAGAGGGTTAAGCGGTTCTGCTTTCCACTCAGGTCATGATCCCAGGGTCCTGGGAGGACCCTGTGAGGCACCCTCTGCTTCTCCCTCTCCCTCTGCCTGCCACTCCATTTGCTTGTGTGCACACCATCTCCCTTGTCAAGTGAATAAAAAAATATTTAAAAAAAAGAAAGCTAAATATTGGATAATACCTTGAAAGAAGCAGAGAGAACAGATTTTACTAGATGATTGCCCAGCTTTCAGATTAAATGATTCAATGATTCTCTAGGTGGATACTTTTTTTTTTTTTCAAGGAAAGACACTCCTAAGATAAACCTATCGAGAGGATATATTCGTTTGGTTTATAGCATGTTTTCTCTTCTTTTTTTTTTAAAGATTTTATTTATTTATTTATTCAAGAGAGACAGAGACATAGGCAGAGGGAGAAGCGGGCTCCATGCAGAGAGCCCGACGTGGGACTTGATCCCGGGACTCTGGGGTCACGCCTTGGTACCAAGGCAGGTGCCAAACCGCTGAGCCATCCAGGCATCCCTATAGCATGTTTTTTCTTACTGCTACTTTTATAAATCTATAAGGTTCTCTTTAACATCTTAGAAAAGTTAAGAAGGGGGTCCTATTTAATTTCCTTAAATAATGGGTATACTTCTGTATCATATGAGTTAATTTCTTATTGTTCCCTTCCTTCCATACCCTCAGTTATGTGTCTTTTGGCATCTTTGATTATAACTCATTGTTGCTTAGAAATTATGTTTTAGTGTCAGCCTATGTAGAATTATATAGAGTAGTAATTACTCTGGAACATTATATCATGTAGAGATATGGGGTATAATACTCATTCCATTTTTCCATCTGGGGAATTTGAGTACCTTTTTTTTTTTTCAAACCATCCATTTTATAGACCTGGATTTCTGCCTTTTCACTGGTTTTGTGGCAGAGATGTTACAGAAAGAGAATTATTACATGAGATAGAAGTTAAGAAAGCAGCTTGTAAACAATAAAGGATTACACAAGGATAAGGTGGTGCTATTTCAAGTTGCAGCTGTGTACAACTTTAGCCTATAATAAATTTATGCTATCTAGCTTCCAGTAGGGTTTTATCACTAGCTCAGTAATTGTACTCATATCTTGCTAATTATCTAGTACTTTCCTGGTGAGAAATTTTTTCTCCTCACCATCTAGTTAATTTCTGTCTACCTTATTCTTGATATATTTCTTTGTATCAGATTTGTTGAAAAGATTGATACCATCAAGAACACCTTTATCTTCCCTTATAACTTCATCATGCCTCCACATATTCATATCTACAACCTATTTGTTGTTTTTAATTTCAAAGGAGACAGAATCTTTTGTCAAAGACTAACACCTATTATGTGCATTAAGTACCAGGTCTCAGGCCAAAGCACCAAGCCCCACCACTGAACAGCATCACCATTTGTTACTCTTCCTCTCTAGTGGAGACAAGGTCTCCGTATCTTGAAAAAGCTTGTGGTTGAGGCTCCTGTTCTCCATCTGTATCATTCTGTGTCATTGCAGAAAAAATTTTAAGCAAATGACACCTATAACTGACATCACATTTTCTTCCAATGTAAGAGAGACCATGTGATGTAGTGGGACAAGAGTGTGGTAAATGCTATGGAGGAAATAAACAGAGAAGTAAGAGTAATTGGAGGAGAAGGGATTCCTTTGTATAAATCATTTGAAATGAAAATTTTATCTGAGAAGAAAGCTTCAAAATCTTGATCTCTGGGAGAATGAGGAAGTATAAATGAAGAAGAGAAAGCATAAATAAAGTTTAATTGTTATGAATCTTCAATTTTTAACAGTGTTTATTACATAATTTTGATTATATTCTATTTGGACTTTGAAAGTGTCACTTTAAAGCAAAATTTACTTCCTAATTAATGGTCGTTGTCAAATTTTAGAAGTCTCATATCTATTCTTTCCAGTTTTAAATGAAGAAAAATAGCTTTGACTAGGATATTATATGCATTTCGTTGTAGTTGATTCAACAGACATGTTGAACACTTACCACATGCCAGGCTCTTTGCTAGGCACTGGAGATTGAAACAGAAGTTATTTTAAGAATGTATAATACTACCTTTAAAATTATCAATCAGGGGCAGCCCGGATGGCTCAGCGGTTTAGCGCCACCTTCAACCCGGGGCCTGATCCCGGGGGCCTGGGATCGAGTCCCACGTCGGGCTCCCTGTATGGAGCCTGCTTCTCCCTCTGCCTGTGTCTCTGCCTCTCTCTCTCTCTCTCTCTGTCTCTCAAGAATAAATAAATAAAACTCTTTAAAAAATTTTTTTTAAATTATCAATCAGATTTTATATTCTAGTGGAGTTTACATTCTGAAAAGGGAACCATAGGCACAGGAAAAATAATACATGAATCAAGCTATTACAGTAATTACGATATAACTCAACAGTGAAAGATTACTTTTGGTTGAGTTAGTCATAGCAAAGCTTTATTCAGAAGTTAGAATGTATATTCAATCTTAAAGGATAGGTATGAATAGGTGGAGAATAGAATGAAAGTTAATTTGGGGATGGGTTTGGAAGGGAAGCATTGATCACAGGTGGGATTAAATATCAGGGTGTATTTAAAGGACATGGATAAATAGGTTTGACTGGAATGAAAGGTTTGTATTGGTAAATAGTAAAATATAAAGCAAAGTCTTTTAATAGAATACAAGATTTTGGCTCTACCATAATAGTAATATGTTTCTATAATCCTAAATTCATTTATAGTTTAAGATTTCTTACATAAAGAGGTTATCACAATGTACAGTTTGCAATTGTGTCATGATTTTGAATAAGTCTTTATTTACATCCCTAAATATGTTCTATAGATTTTGAGGCCAGAGTCTTTACCCCTACTCAGGTTGAAATGATGTTTTGTTTTTCAGTTACTTACACGCCAAGTCAATCATCCACAGAGACCTCAAGAGTAATAGTATCCTTCCTGAAATTTGTCTGCGAAGTTTGAAAACATCCTGACTTTTTCTTCTGCATTTTGTCTTCACATTATGTAAAAACAGTTTTCATGCTAAGTTCAAAAAATGTAAAGAGAATTAATAAATGGGTTTGCATGAGAACATAGTATAAAGCAGGGTACTACAACATGCTTTTGGTTTCTGAACATTTGAGTGTTATAAAAAAAAATCCACCAAGTCTTTATAATAGTAGGACTCTTTTATGATTGTGTGCTTACATTCTGTCAACACCCATAAAACAGGTAGCTATCTACCCATTTCTTTCAGTGCTCTGATGCTACTCTGCAGTAATTGAAATGTAACTGAAGGTTCTAACTTGCATAACAAGGAGGTGAGAAAAACAAAATTTTTCTTCTTCCATAAACTCAGATCAAGATCCCAGCTGTCAACCAACTTCATTCCAATGAAGAACCTTTGTAGCTTTCCTAAATGCTAAAGCATATCTGGGTCCATGTTACTAAAATCTAACGGGAACATTTCAGGGTTTCCCATAAGCGTAGGTTGGAAAGCATCTCACCTCATCCCACCATATTTCAAGCCCCCAAAATCTTAAAAGCAGGTCACATATGCCAAATAGAACCATATTTTTAAAAAACATATTCATTAACTTCAAGAGGAAATATGAAGTACTATACTTTTTAAAGAAATATCAATTTTACCAAAAAAAAAAAGAAAATCATATTATAGAAGTACAGAAATTAGATCTCTTTACCTAACATTTTTGTAATGCTTGCTTTGCTAGGAAAATGAGATCTATTGTTTTCCTTTACTTACTACACCTCAGATATTTTTCTTCATGAAGACCTCACAGTAAAAATAGGTGATTTTGGTCTAGCCACAGTGAAATCTCGATGGAGTGGGTCCCATCAGTTTGAACAGTTGTCTGGATCCATTTTGTGGATGGTAAGAATTGAGGCTATTTCTCCATTAATTAAATTTTTGGACCCTGAGGTGCTACTGAGTGACTAGAAAATCTTTGAAGGTTTCGACTAGTATTTTCATAATTCCCAGTATTCACAAAAATCGATGTTGATCTTATTTTTTATGTAAATAAAATTTAACTTTTTTCTTTATCCTTAAAAAGAGTATTATGAAATCAGTTTCAGTATACTTCAAACAAAAAAATAGTATTTTATAAACAACTGTCGAAATTTTATCCAGAATTGTCTCTTTAAAATATTTTGTGTTCAAAATGTTCTGTGTGCCCTGTTTCAAAAAGAAAAAACAAGTGTGCAGTTTCAGCAGGTACGATCTGCAATATTTCTTAAGGTTTTACTAAGAGAACTACTCCTTTTAAGAGAGGCTGTTTCATGATGTTATTTAAGCCTAAATTGGAAAGTTACTTCCTTTAGACTAGAAAGAACCCATAATTATGGGGCAGCTGGGAAAGAAAAGACAAAAAAAAAAAAAAAAGAATTTTAACACAGCCATGTGCTGCCCTGCATAGCTCTTTGTTGCTTTTTCTTTATTCCTATTTCTGCTTTGTGTAAAAGAAGGGAATGAAAACTTCTGTGCCATTACTTTCAGCAGGCTGTGAAAAGGGCAGGTATAGGAATCATCCTCTAAGCTAGCAGTTCTCAAAAGGGGCCGTAATACCCTTTTGGAAGTACCCAAGGTCATCCCTGTATGAGACCAGATGTTTCTTTATAGTCTTGAACCAGAACAACACATCACAGCAGATCGAATGCAGAACCAAAATATGTGACTATAGCTGGCTGCTCTTAAACCAGTCAAAAAGAATTGCAGTACTGTTCTCGCTGAACTTTTTTTTTTGGTTTTAAAAATACACTTTTCATTAAAAATGGGTAATCTTTGTTAGCATTTAATGGCTATTACTTATGAAATTACTAAATATTTTAACAGTTTCCCAGTTATGTTTTTTTTCCCAGTTATGTTTAAATATGAGAAATACCCATAGATATAATCCACATAAAAGTTCCTTGGGGTCTTCAGTAATTTTCAAGACTAAAAGAGTTATGAGATCAAAAAGTTTGAGAACTGCTGCTCTCAGCTGAATGCTGGATGTCCCTAACCGGTAGTGCAATTTGAAGCTTTAAATAATTGAATCTGCACTAAGGCTTTGGGACACACTGCTGGAAACAGAGAAGCTGCAGGGGCTCTTGAAGCCATATTTGCATAAATTCCCTGAACTATCTGTAACAGCCTCCAAGAGGGGAATTCCAGGATAGATGTCTGAATTAATCAAATAAACTTAGGGTTAAATTCAGCTATGCTTTCTTATAAAAATAACTGGAGTGAAGACAAGTGGTAAGGTGGAAGGGGAACAATGGACCTAGGAGATCTGTACTCTATAGTCAGTCCTCTGTTTAACTCTCAACCTGCACATTTCCTAACCTCCATGTCTCTCCATCTTTAATGTTGGTAGGACTAGTGGATTTCTAACGCCTTTTTTGTTCCTAAGATTCAGTAATTAGAGCTAACTAGGTTTGTTTCTTTAATATATTTTAATTGTTTTAATAAATCATTTTATAAATAGGAGGCTTATTAGTCATTGTAATTGGGATTTCATGCACCTTTAAGGCACACACCTTGCCATAAGATAGCAGTGGATTCTAGGATGCAGCAGGCTAGCACACACTAAGTGTGAGACTGTAAAACCTCAAATTAAAAAGAAACAATTAATACATGTTTTAAAGGTGTATCTATTTTAACTAGTGTGGGGGAGATGCTCAGTTAAACTCCAGGTTTGTCCTTTTTCTAAAATCTAGATTATTATACCTAAAGTTTTATATTCTAATTTATTTTTTGTTGATACATAGGTAGATTGGTTCATCCTTTATTCTATCAAGCTGAGCTTTCATATAAGAGATTAGCTAGTAGTACACTTACGTGTTGAATAAATCCTTTTGGGTTGATAATTGCCTTCAGAAACAAATGCGGAGCATCTGTGGACTAGTAGAGAAGAGTTTGGTCAGAACTAAGATTATGTAATTCTCTGAATTCTTCTCAACCTTGTTCTATTTATCTTAGAGGGGAAAGAAACCTTTGTGAAAATTTTTACAGATTAAATCACTAAATTAATTGAGGATCAATCATGCATTTCTTGTCCAAATAAATGACATACAGCCTTTCATCAAGCCATCTACCAACAACAGTAGAGGTAAAACTAAGTTTTAAAAAGATGGTTAGTTCCTCAACTGATTTATTATTCTGTCCCTCGCAAAATTGTATTCTGGCTTTTAAAATTATGCCTGTATCATAACCAGCCTCTCAGTATTCTAGCTTGTTCATCACATCACAGTTGTATGTGGTTTATTTTGTACTGTATTACTAAAAGCAGCTAGCAATAAAATGTTTGACAGAAAAAGTAAGCAGACACCATCTTCTCCTTCACCTCCCATCCTTCATCAGGATCTCCCATACGTCTTCTGTCAGTGGTTCTCAACCTTAATTGGACATTAAAATCATCTGGGGAGCTGTAAAAACCAGCAATATTTGAATCCCATCCCAAGATTCTGTTGTTATATTATTGGCCTGGTACGTAGTCTGGACATTGAGAGGTTAAAAAGTCTACACAGTTGATTGTGATTTGCAAGTAAGGCTGAGTGCCATTGCCTGCTTTTTGAGATAGACCAGTGACCAGGAATCCTGTCCCAGGTCCTCCAGCCATTTATGCAGTTAGTTCAGGTTTTGGTATCAAAATAATGCTTTCATGGAACTTTTATTTACACTCTGCAGTGTCTTTAGAAACAGTTCTTCCAAATGAAACAGTACAGAAGATGCAAGGTGAAAGAACTCTTTTAAGCGTGTATTTAACCAACCATTTATTGTATTTCATGAACACAGCCAATTAAGAAATTAAGTGGTAGAGTACAATGAGTAAAATGTGTAAAAATGTAGCAAATATGATTTGGTCTGTATCGTTGCCCAAGAAGCAAACAGCCAGCATTCTTTATGCCAACTTCTAAATTGACCTCCTATCTCTTGCTTTTGTTAATAAAGCACCCATGGCATATTGATAATGCTTTTGGAGGCAGGAAAGGGGTTTGAGTTTGTCAATGTTGATGTTTTACCAGTATTGTCTAAGGTGCCCTGAGGCGAGAATCATTGTACTAATGGGAAAACTTAAACTCTAAGGCAGTTTTTAGCGTAGTGGTTATGCTACTTCCAAACATTTTAGTACTGCAGGTCTCTTATTTCTTTACTGAATCAGAAATGGAAATGGGAATTGATTCTTGATAGAGCTAATCCTGGGAAGGATTCAAATAGCAATGGCAGTATTTTGTACAGAAAGAGGATGGCTGATAAAATTATAAAATCTTCATAATACATGTGGAATCTCAGGTAATACTGCTTCTTTCAGGGCTTACTGAGCATTTTTTTTCTTAATCAGTTTTATTTCTTTGCCCCTTAATAAGAGAATTGATTGCATATTAGATGGATTATTTAATGACGAAAGCATTGTTCTGGGAATTGTAATCATTTGCTTTTAGTCTTTTTAGTTGAAGAATAAACAAGAATATTTTTCTTTTTGTGTTCTAATAGGCACCAGAAGTGATCCGAATGCAAGACAAAAACCCATATAGCTTCCAGTCAGATGTATACGCATTTGGGATTGTTCTATATGAATTGATGACAGGGCAGTTACCTTATTCAAACATCAACAACAGGGACCAGGTAAATATTTACCATCTCTTGGGGTTTATTTTACTGTTTGTATAAAGACTCCAGTTTGTTGTAGAAAAGTATTGAGTCCAGAGTAGGCATAAAGGATGGATATCTTAATCTTTGTTACCAGTTTTGGAAACCTTTGGTGGACTGTTGGCAGTGATAGCAGCATGTAAGGCCTTTCCTTGAAATGTCAGTGTTGTCACGGAATGCAGTTGCTGATGGTCTGACTAGAAACCAGAGCTGCCACAGTGGAGAGCGCCCACGTTTCCTGACCACACACAACCAGAAGGAGCTCTGCTGCCATGGCATCTGAGCTTTTGTGCCTTTTATTTTGTCATAGGTTGTGCTGAGCAGGCACTCAGCTATGTGCTTCTTTATATCCATTTCTTTGAAAAGTATTAGTAAGCTTTCTCCATTTTTTTAAAGTTTTTAAAACTAGGTAAATGGAAAGACCATTGTATAATGCTTTCACTTTTCTATACTAAGGCTTTCAATAGGAGGGAATTTTTTTTACTTCCTTCTTTCTAAATTCCTGTTCTCTGTCCTTCCCCAAAGTTCCTGACAGAGCCTCATGCAGCATTTTGCCTTTTCTATCCCATCCACGTTGAGTTCACCAGGACCTTAACACTGACTAAGAAAAAGGAATTGTCTTTACTGACATTATATTGTATACCTCAAGATTTTAAAAGTGTAGGGTGGGGTGGGGGTGGGGGTTATAGAGACATTGCAGCAGTTCCACTCTTCATATATTAGAAAACAATGATCAACCATATAAACTGTGGTTAAATAATATTTATATTTTATACTGTGGCTTGCATCAGTTTTCCCTGGGTAATTTGCTTAAAACTGGAGATTTTGTCTAAAACTAAAAGAGAGGTGCCTAGGTGGCTCAGTCTGTTAAACATCTGACTCTTGATTTCAGCTCAGATCATGATCACAGTGTCATGAGATCAAGCCCCACATCAGGCTCCATGCTGAGAGTGGAATCTGTTTAGGATCTCTCTCCCTCTCAAATAAATAAATAAATAAATAAATAAATAAATAAATAAATAACACACACACTCTATATAAAATCTACTCTAGGATAGATAGATATATATATATCCTAGAGTAGATTTTGATTCCATGGAGTGAGATCCAAGCATTTACATTTTTAATAAGTTTCCCAGGTGATTTTGGTATATACCAAAGTTAAAAATCACCAAGGAATTAAAAAAACTATAAATGGGGCACCTGGGTGGCTCATTGGTTGAGTGTCTGCCTTGGGCTCAGGTGGTGGTCCTGGGTTCCTGGGATTGAGTCTTAAATGTCAGGCTCCCTGTAGGGAGTCTGCTTCTCCCTCTGCCTGTGTCTCTGCCTCTCTGTGCGTGTCTCTCATGAATTAATAAATAAAATCTTAAAAAAAAAATACAGTAGGGATCCCTGGGTGGCTCGGCAGTTTAGTGCCTGCCTGCCTTTGGCCCAGGGCGTGATCCTGGAATCCCGGCCCGCATCAGGCTCCCTACATGGAGCCTGCTTCTCTCTCGGCCTGTGTCTCTGCTTCTCTCTCTGTCTCTGTGTCTCTCATGAGGTAAATAAATAAAAATCTTAAAAAAAAAACAGTAAATGTTTTGTGTTTTATCATAAACTAATGAAATTATAGTTTTTAATGTATGAATATATTACTTCATTTAAGTAGTGTGTGTGTTTTGGTCATCAGCTCAAATCTCAATCTTTTTGGAAATAAGCTCTAAGTATCTTTCTTACTAAGAACATCAGCTATCATATGGTTTCAGAGAAATAATCTCAGTTGTCATGTACATCATATATACTTACTGAATCACCATATGGTCCCTTACCCAGAGTGGTCCTAATTTTATAGTTAAAGAATTTTTCCTGAATGACTGTGTTTCGGGGCACCTGAGTGGCTCAGTGGTTGAGCATCTACCTTTGGCTCAGGTCCTGCTCCTGGGGTCCTGGAATCAAGTCTCGCATCAAGCTCCCCACAGAGCCTGCTTCCTCTGCCGGTGTCTCTGCCCCCCCCCCCCCATTAATAAATAAATAAAATCTTAAAAAAAAAAAAAGACTGCTTCTACCCAAGTCAGTACAGAGCTAATTGGTTAGTTTCTGTTTGGTCTTCCTAATCACTACACAGCTTTAGAATGTTGAATCCTACTTTTGAGTGTTAAAAAAAAATCTGTGACCTGGTTCCTAATTACCTGATATTTTAAGCCTGCATGAAACTTAGATTCAGGATAGACCAAGCTACTACTAAGGAACATAGTAGAAACATTGCACTTAACTGGACTTGTGACAGATCCTGGGTAACTGAGCTGATAGATTTGATGATGGCAGTCTGAAGAGCAGGATTGTTTCTAATTTGCAAGCTTCCTGTACTCTGCCTTTTATAGTCTCATTAACTAGACTATATGACATAATACTCTGTGCCATGTTCACTTTTCCTTTGCATATTACTTTTTTTTTTAAGATTTTTAAATTTATTTTTAGAGGGAATGAGAGCATGAATGGGGGTAAGGGGAGGGAGAGGGAGCATCTCAAGCATACTCTCGCTCAGCACGGAGCCCAACACTTGGTTCAACCCTATGACCCTGAGATCATGACCTGAGCCAGAATCAAGGCAGACACTTAACCAACTGAGCTGCTTAGGCACCCTGCATATTTCTTTTCTATAGGAATTACAAGAGAATTTTAGTTTAGTTTTAGTTGATTTATCAGAGATACCATAAATATTAATCAAAGATCTGGATGAAATCCAGAGAATATCTTTGTTTTAATAAAATAATAAAATTCTGTTATGGAAATGGGTATTATTATCTTCAAAATATAGATAAAAACATCCCAGAGTTCTATACTCATCCACGTCTTGGCATTTTAGGTGCTTTATCTTCCATGCAAATATAATAAATAACGTGGCAAGGGCTTTCTCTCCATAAGAGAAATAAGTGAGTGACCAACAGAAGGGTAAGGGCTTTACTAGTTAATTCTTTCTGGTAGTGTAGTGAGAGCCTTCTGGAATTTGCCAATCTGAATTGTGTTTGATGAAGAAAAAGAAGGTAGAAGAATGATACACTCTTCCTATCACCCCCAGTCTAATTCATTACTTCTTAGTCTGCTTTCCTCAAATGGCACTTTCCACAGAACTCCCTCTTGGGAATCAGTAACTCTAGTTATGTTCAATGAAGTAATCCCAGGCTTTGCTCCATCTATCCCCTTGATTTGATTTTTCTTTTCCTCTTTTACTTTGATCTCCATGGCTCTCAGATTGGACTTCTGTTTGAAAATTTAGGAGTACTCTTATTCATGGGAGATAGGACTACTTCTTTACTCTGCACTATAGGAACCACTCCTGTGCGCTCTCACCCCCATATTCTGAAATGGTAGCTTTTGCCTATAAATTTAAAGCAGGACTCTGGTTAAGCAGCTTGGTATAAAGGCCAACCTTGGACTTGTGACCCGCATGACCTGGTCACTTTACTTCCTCAAGTGTCTGTATTTTCTTTTCTTTCATGTATAAAAATAAGAAATTATACTAAAGAGGGATGCCTGGGTGGTTCAGTCAGTTAAGCATCCGCCTTCTGCTCAGGTCATGATCCTAGCCTCCTGGGATCCAGCCCTACATCCCGCTCCAGGCTCAGCAAGGAGTCTGCTTCCCCAGCTTGTGCGTGCGCGCGCTCTCTCTCTCTCTCTCTCTCAAATAAATAAAACCTTAAAAAAAGAAAACAAATCGGACTAAAGAATTCCTTGTGTTTACAAAGATCATATTCTTTGCTAAAGCACATCTCTTAGCTCTTCAGAGGATGGACATCCTTATGTTACTTTGCAGAACAGTATGCCTTTCGTTTACCTTACCCGATGCTGAGGTCTAAGAAATTGGTGTCATTTTTTCCCTCTCTTTATCCTTCCATTTCGCTCTCTAATCACCCTGTTCTGGGCAGCCCAGGTGGCTCAGCGGTTTAGCACCGCCTTCAGCCCAGGGCATGATCCTGGAGACCTGGGATCGAGTCCCACATTGGGCTTCCTGCATGGAGCCTGCTTCTCCCTCTGCCTGTGTCTCTGCCTCTCTGTGTCTCTCGTGAATAAATAAATAAAATTTTAAAAAAATAATAATCACCCTGTTCTTCCCTCTTCCAGTGCAGTTTTGCTAAGTTGGGATTAATAATGCATTCATATGAACTAGGTGTATTGACACTCTATCCTCATGATTTTCTTTCCTTAGAGCAGAAGTGCTATGTCATCTTGAAGAAAATAACAGAAACTTCTGTCTCATTTTAAGTATATTTCAGTTAGTATTGTTGTATAATAAACCACCCTAAACATAGTGGCTTAAGCAGATTATGAATCTGCAGTTCAAGCTGCTGTCAGTAAGGAAGGTTTATTTTCTGTGTCATATGGTATTGCCTAAGGTACATTAATTGGTTGTTAAAGGCTCCACTTCCAAAATGGCTCATTCACACATCCTACAAGGTGTGGTGCTAGCTGTCCACTGGCAGCTTGGTCAGGGCCAAGGGTAGGGGGCTTCAGTTCTCCACATGGGCCTTTCTGTGGAGATTTTGTTCATAGAAATCGTGGACTTGGTTACAGGCTGGTGGCTGGGTTCTTTTTCTTCCCCTGGTGGCTGGTTCTAAAACATAAAATCTCAAGAGATAAGAGATAGGAAATGAAAGTACCAGTGTTTTATCAACACGCAAATTATTTTAATAAAAAATTTTTAGGGATCCCTGGGTGGCGCAGTGGTTTAGCGCCTGCCTTTGGCCCAGGGCGCCATCCTGGAGACCCGGGATCGAATCCCACGTCGGGCTCCCGGTGCATGGAGCCTTCTTCTCCCTCTGCCTGTGTCTCTGCCTCTCTCTCTCTCTCTCTGTGTGTGACTATCATAAATAAATTTAAAAAAATAAAAATAAAATTTTTAAAGCACTATGTGATATCGAGGGTGACAAAGATGAATAAAAACACAGGCCGTGCTGTCACTGGAATTCACCAGTCTGCTGAGGCAGTATAGGGGGCGATATTGAGGATGAGCAAACACTATGTCCTGGTAAGACAGGAGTGAATGAAGGTGCAGAGATGCCAGGAGGGCTAAATGTGGGTTGAGCATGAAATTAGCCAGTCAGTCCCAGAATTTCAAATTGAGCTGCTGATTTTATCATGTCCGTGCTACTTAAATCTAGTATACATGAATTATCAGGGTAAGTCTTCTCTTGAAGTAATTGTAAAGATAGTGATTTCCTTTATATTTTATTAACATTTCAAAATAAAGTTGTTAGAGCTTCTTTTAAATGTATCCAATGAAATCTAAAAGCCATCCTGACTTGATACCTACCATCTGTGTAAAAAAACAGATTCAATAACTTTTGGAAGTTTTTCTCTTTGAAGAAACATTTTTATGCTTTCAAGGCTTTTATTGATCACTCAAGTTACATCTCTGCAACAAAAATAAGGATTTAAATTTAGAATTAAAAAATATATATATTTCCTGGGACCCCTAGGTGGCTCAGTGGTTGAGCATCTGCCTTTGTCTCAGGGCATGATTGCGAAGTCCCAGGATCGAGTCCTACATCGGGCTCCCAACAGGGAGCTTGCTTCTCCCTCTGCCTGTGTCTCTGTCTCCCTCTTTCTGTCTCTCATGAATAAATAAATAAAATCTTAAAAAAAAAATAGTTACATTTACAAATTTTTTAAAAAAAGGAAAAAGGAAATATTTCTTAATGAACAACATGGGTTTTTCTCATCAGTTCATTTATATATTTGTGGGTAAATAGGGTTTTGCTAAAGTGAGGTAGGACTTAACATCAGTTCCTTTCCTTGTTTTATTTTTAAGGAAGTAAACACTGAAAACTTCTGTTCAATTAGATACAAAGATGAGAAAGTCAGGCGTTTGTTGTACCCACATGCACAGTTCAGTGGTCCCCAAGACCATACTCAGATTCAGCCATTCAGTAAGTCTCAGAACTCCCTCCAAGTTGTTAGTACTTAAAGTTACTGTTTATTACAACAGTCAAGGGAAGAGGCACATAGGACAGAATTGAAGAACATTCCATGTGTGGAGGTCCTAGTGTTCTTCTCTCAATGTAATTGTGGACAGCATCTGAATTCTTCTGGCAGCATTGTGTGACAACGTGTAGAGTATTGCCAAACACAGAAACTCGAAAGTCCAGAGTTATCACCAGGGCTCAGGGTCAGGTAAATATGGTTGACCACCTCTGTGGCTGACCTTAGTTTTTAGCCCCTCTGGAGGTCAAGCTCAATGTCCCTTCTATAAATCACATTTATGGCATAGACCATCCAGCATAGCCAAAGGCCTCCAGGTAAACAAAAGGACTCTTATCAGGCAGGGCATTCCAGAAGTATAGGGATTACTTCCCAGGAGCCAAAAGCAAAAGCGAGCCCTCCCTCTGGGCAAGATTAATTCTTTGCTATAAAGTATATCACTCAGTTATTTGAACTCACTTCTAGAATGTACCCAAAATTACATAATTTGTCAGTAAATTTTATAATTAGCTGACAATTCAATTAATCTTGCTGCAAGCAAAGAATTGGAAACCGGCTGTCTTGCAGAGGGATTTGTTACCCATTCATTAGAGCCTAGTTAAATACCAGTATCTATTAAGTGTCCGCTTGGTACCCAGCAGTTTTACCTCTTGGAACAATGTATACTATAGTTAAATTTTATGTTGGGTAAAAAAGGTGTGCCTTTTATAAAGTAGGAAAAGAGCAGTTATAGAGGGGAGATGGGAAAGGAGGATAAGCTTTATACCTCCACTTTAATGGCTCTTGGGCAAATCAGCTTATAGTTAAACAAAAGTTCCTACAGCACCAAACAGGAAATAATATAAAGTTAGGGTATCAGACTTGACTGTTTCTAAAGTTTATAAACTCTGTATGTAACAGAATTTCTTCTGTGTGTGTGTGTGTAACAGGATTTCTTACAGGCTCTCTCCACCTACTCTCTAGTCTGTGCCTGTATGATTTGTTCCCTCTAAGATCAAAAATCCCCTCTCTTCACAGAGTCCCAAGACGCCTGATATCTGTTTCTGTCCGTTCTCAAAACAGGCAAAAATGAGAAAATTAAATCAGAAACAGTGTTCATCTCTGCACCTAAGGAAGACAAGCCTTTTTACTTTATTAAACACAATACTTAATTCCCAAGGTGGTTTATCTTCTTTTTCTTCGGAGGAGGCTCTGATTCTCAGACCTACATTACTGCATGCCCCATTTCTAACATTTCCTCAACAAACAAATTTGTTGCCAAAACAACTGCTAAAAAGCTTAGCTTTTTTTGGTTCTTGCTACATATCTATAGAGGACTTGTGATGCCCAACAAGTACTCAATAAATACTCAATAAAATACTTTAAGTAGAATAGAGGCACAGTCCGATCTGATTACCCTGGCAGTGGGAAATGGATAAGGACAGACTGGAACCCTGGAGAGCAATAAGAACTTTACAGTAGTCTAGAGGTCCTGAAGATTTCAGCTTACAGCCCACAATATGATGTAGGGGATGCATTGTGTTTCTTTTTATTGAAGTACAGTGTACATGCAGAAGAGTACACAAAAATGCGCTGCTTGTTGAATTTTCTATGTTTATGTATTTTTCAGTTCATCAACAAGGTTGTATGATTTGTTGTTTTTTTTTTTTCCCTTGCCCAGATAATTTTTATGGTGGGACGAGGATATCTTTCTCCAGATCTCAGTAAGGTACGGAGTAACTGTCCAAAAGCCATGAAGAGATTGATGGCAGAGTGCCTAAAAAAGAAAAGAGATGAGAGGCCACTCTTTCCCCAAGTAAGAAGCTTTATGTTACCTAAGAGGATAGGCTAATACTCAGCTGTAGATTTTTAAATAGTTTCTAGAGCATACGTTTGTATTTTGTGAATTTGGATTCCACGTGATTATGTGCAGGCAGCAGATAAGTAATCACATAAAGATGATTTTATGAATTTGAATGGTGGTACATCTAGAAATTTGGAATCTCAGTACAAAATATTCAGAATGACTTTGATTTTGTTTAGCAGTTCTCAGACTTTTTTGGTCTCACAATCCATTTACACACTTAAAAATTATTGAAAACCCCCAAAGAACTTTTGCTTATATAAGTAATAATTGACATTTTAGAAATTGAAACTATGTGTTAAAAATATTTATAAGTTGAATTAAACATAATAAAACCATTACATGTTAAATAACACTTTTGTAAAACAACTGTATTTTCCCAGACAACAGAAAAATGAAAAGAATGGCATCATTTTACCTTTTTTGCAAATCTCTGCAAAAAAAAGACATCTGGATTCTCTGCACTTGTGATGTTGCAATATTTTGCACGATGTAGCCTCTGAAAACTCCACTTACACTTGCAAAATAATGACAGTAAAAAGGCAAATAATACCTTGGTGTTATTATGAACATAGTTTTTCTACATATTACACTTTGAGAACTGCTGCTTCAGTTCCTCCTGGTGGTAAAACATTCCCAGCTTCCCTTTAATACTGAGTCTGGAAAAAAAACAAAAACAAAAAAAAACACTGAGTCTGTTGGAGGAGCATTTTCAAATAGGGCAAAAAGTGCCACCTGTTGGCACTGTCTGCCTTTCTCTGATTCTTGGAAAATTACCATCGCTTTTTATCTTTTCATGGCATAAGGCTAAAGCCCTTACATTAACAATCTTTAATAAGCCTCACAAACTGCAACTAAGTACATGAAGAAGCTGAGAAAGTTTCGATATGGAAGATATTGTAATATAAATTCAGTTTTTTGTGATGCTCAGGAAGTTCCTGATAGCGCTGTATAAACGAGTCTTGATAAATCAGTACAATTTTCAGAGGGGTAGGACTGACTCTGTAATTACTAGCTACCATAATTACTGAGTTGGTCTTTCTTGAACCTTATTATGCTTTTAAATACCCACTCCTAGCTGAATCTCCTAAGACAAAAGTCACTGTTACAGGAATACATGAATCTGTTATTCCCATCTAACGCATTAAAGATTGAATTTGTGATTTTAACAAGTCTCTAAGGGGCTATCTCAGAGTGGGTAGATACATGTTTTACATATTGGAATTCTAAGTTACTATTTCTTCGAGGAAGAGTTTTTTTTTTTTTTTTCAACCCAGAAAACTGCTGGTTGTTTAAAACTATCAAAGTAAAAGGACCAGTGTTGTTGGCCAATATCAGCAGGACCCTGGTATCACATTCTATTTTCATAGTCCAGGTACTAGAGTTTCCTGTTTAACATGCTTGATGTATATTAATAATGTAAATTATATCCACAGGCCCACTTTTTTATTTTAAGATTTTATTTTTTTTAAGTAATCTCTACACCCAGATTTGGGCTCAAACTTACAACCCCAAGATAAGAGTTGCACACCCTATCAACTGAGCCAGCCGGGCACCCCTTATAGTCCTTCTTTTTAAGTGGTATTAAAGGGGACAAAATGTTTATACTTTTAAATATAAATTCTTTGTGTGGTATCTGAAAATGAAATGGATATCTGAATTTTTCAGATTGCTGAGGGATGCTCGTTTTAAGTATTATTTTTAACTTTTCATTACAAGATCTCTTTTCACACTACACAGAAACACAAACTTCAGATGGCTAAAGATTTATATATGTGAAAAACATAACTATAAGAAGTCATTTTTATTGACCTTCAGGTAGGAAAAGCTTTCCTAATAATAATAAGAAGCGAAAATCCAGAAATGATAAAGGAAAGAAAGATCAGCAAGTCTGACCACCTTAAAAGTTTTTAAAATTCTGTGTAATAAAAATACTATTGCAAAGTAAACACAAAAATAATTATAGCATGTATAACAAAGCATAAATACTGGTATTATGTAAAGGCCTCCTACAAATCAATAAGTAAAAAAGATAATAGAAAATGAGCAAAGCATATGAACTGGTGATTCACACAGAAATACAAATGGTGAATGAGCTTAGGATGTTAAAAGTTCTGGGACAGTCAATAAAATGCAGAGTAACAGTGAAACACATTTTGATTTTCTCTCTCAGATTGGCAGTATCCAGCATTGGGAACCGTGTTGGGAAGTAAGAAGGGCCCTCCTTATAAATTTTTTAACAGTATTGTTGGGATTGTAAATTGGTTTGGCCTCTTTAAAGGACTTGGTACAATTCATAAACTCCAAATATATATACATTTTGCTCTGGTAATTCCACTCTTAAAAACGTATACTACAGAACCTGCTTCCACAAGTGCTCAGATACATACGAGAATGCTTACCATAATAGGAAAAATTAAAGACATAGAGATCAAGGTAGCTCTCTAGATGGCATGGAAGTTAGCGAGGGGAAAGAAAAGCAACACAGAAATATATGTGTAGTATGATACCACTTGGATGGTGGTGAGGGTGGGGATGGGCTCTGTTTTCATATGTGCATGTTTATGCATAGGAAAGGTCCAGAAGAAAGTATAGACTCTTTAACAGTGGTTACCCCTGGAAGGTAGGACTTATACTTTTTCTGTATTATTTGAATTTTTATTTGTGTGTTATGCTTGTAATTGAAGATGTTTTGTAACATTGCTTCTTTGCCTTATACTAATCATACAGATGACAGTTTAACTTTTTAAAAAGTTTTGGTAGCTCAGAAACATAATAATAGTAATGGCTGCTAAAGTTTTATTGAGTTCTTACTATATGCCAGGCATTGTGCCAAGCCTACACGTATGTCTCATGATTATGAACATCCATCATACTGTCTGCCTTCAAGAGTCATAACCCGTTTCTCTGTACCTTAAACTATGTGGCATTTCTACGTTTTGTGTGTTGGTGTCTATTTGTAGTTTGCCTGTCTTTCCCACTCTTGGATTGTCACCTGTCACTTCTCACTCCTATGCCACTAGCAGTGTGGGTCATCAGGTCCTACTTTTAATTATGTTGTGGAAGACATTCCCCCATTACTAAGTTTCTTAAAGAATGAGTTGCTCTGATGATTGTGTTTGTGAAGTCACCCACTGCTTTACTGATTGATGCTTCATCTTCTTCCCAAAAGGGACTGCGGTCTGGGAGAAATAGGTATATAATTGGTTTAAAACTTATTATTATTTACTGTTCCAAGGCTGGCAAATGATCTAAAATGTAAATAAAAGCTAACTATAGGTTGTTTTCCCCATTCATTTTACAGAGATTAAAATTATAGGAGTTTGGTCGTTCTCTTTTCTTTGTAAGGAAAAATACCAGTTTCTTAAGTATTTTTTCAGGCATTTAGGATAAACCAAAAACAATGTAAGATTTCAGGTGCTTTCTTGTAAAGTATGATGGGGATTTTAAAGATTAATAACACCTAGATTTTCATTCTACCTTTTTTCTTTTTTTCCTTTTCCTTTTTTAGATTCTCGCCTCTATTGAGCTGCTGGCCCGCTCATTGCCAAAAATTCACCGCAGTGCATCAGAACCCTCCTTGAATCGGGCTGGCTTCCAAACAGAGGATTTTAGTCTCTATGCTTGTGCTTCTCCAAAAACACCCATCCAGGCAGGGGGATACGGTGCGTTTCCTGTCCACTGAAACAAATTAGAGTGTGCGAGTATAGGGCATAGGGACCAAGGAAATGAAAATATGTTTGTTTATATATTTGCTAAATTGAATAAGATCTTTTTTAAAAACGATGAGCCGAAGAATGAGTAGGTTTTTAAAGACTAGGTATCATTATTTCCAAATCTAAAATGTAAATTTAGCATTGGATTTTCAGCATCCAAGCATTTTATAAAATGCACAGACATGGCTAAACATTTGTAGTACCTCTTTCAGAGGCTTTACTTCCTGTTCCACATCTGTTTATGGGCTTATTCTAATTATTAAACTTCATTTAAACTTTTCTCATGCACCTTTTGTTGTTGGCTATCACATGTCCATTAGGGAGTCCCAAGAACAGCACCACTCCTGTGCATGGATTTGCAGGTGGACGGTGACAGTAGATTAGCCTGTGTTAGGCAAGGCAACCCAAACAGATCTAATTAAAAACTTATGAGAGTTGAATAAGTTATTTTTATTCTTAATATTATTTTCTATAACTTTTTATTATAATTTGGAAAATATGCTTTATTCCTCAAAGGAATAGACTTTATAGACTTTATTTCTATAACTTTTTATTATAATTTGGAAAATATGCTTTATTCCTCAAAGCAGTAGACTGAATTTCTTTTTACAAATTACGAGTGCAGGTAACCAAAGATATTGCTTAGGAATGACATATTTGACATGAGTAATATGCTTGAACTTTGGATTTTTAGTGACGAATGTTAAAAATTGGAGTTCTTTTTAAATAATATTTTCCCATACATTAAGGATGTCTTATACACATAGAAGTTGAATTTCCTTACAGATGCATTGTTTCCTCCTCCCCCAAAAAAGCTTCATAGAATTCTGTGAGAAGTTTTGGGTTTGTTTGTTTAGATATCTTTAGTTACCAAACAACCAAGTAGTGGACTTCTTAAAAATTATTATTACTTTAGATTGTACATACCTTTCATGATACCTGTTTTAACAATCACCTTATCCATGTGTCATAAAATTCTTGTGCTCCTTATATTCTTTGCCCAGCAGGGTTCTTATGAATGAATGCTATTCTTTTTTTTTTTCTGTAGCCTATGTAGCCTACTGTGTGAAGTATTTATTAGTGCTTTCTAATATTTACCTTTTCTTGTGTAGAAAATGACTGTACTGTGGCAGTCAGTATACTCTTACTATGAGCCAGAATCTTACTGGGAATCAAAAGTGAAAGGAGCAGTATCACTGTCATCTTACCAAAGAAATTATCATGTCTACTTCAGAGTCAGCACCAAAAGCCAGCCACTTAAATACATTTTCATTTATTTAATTTAGAACTATGGTGATTTTTAAATATAACTGGTGGTTCGGAGCTATACAGGCACATAGACAACATCTGTGTTTAATATCATCCTTTGAAGCCAATAAGAAAATTGGGAAGACCTTAGTGATAATTTAGTTTTTAAATATCACAAATAAGTTTTTAAAATACTGTATTAATTTGAATGGATGAGATTTCATCCAGGAAAACTAGTCAGTGAGAAGAAGCATGGCATACCTTTTGCCTCTCATTTGGGTAGTTTGAAATAAGTAATGCCATTCATGTTGCTCAAAATTGATTCATGCCTTTCAATTAGGCAAGAGTAGTGGAAAAGAACCTCTCTCGTGTTTTCAAAAATAAGAAAGAGAAAGGCATGAAAGAATGGAACCTGTTGGAAAAAAGATTCTAAATTAGTGCAGGATTTCTAAATCCTCTAGTGATATTAAAGATATGATAGTAATTACTAAATAGAGTTTTGTCCATCACGAATTGAATAGCAAGCATGTAGCTAACAAAGTTTTTACATTGGTCACTGGAATGCACAAAGGTTTGGACATTCTAAGGCACAAGAGTCAAAGGATCTTTTTACTGATCGAACTCTTTCTATAGTTCCTCAGTGTACTTGCTTCACTCGTATTGTCCTTTCTTTGCTCACTCCTTTTTTCTGCTCCTATAATTCCCCACCCGGACCACTGCCCAACCCCCCACTCTCTACATTTGACTCTTTTCAGTCTCCTTTGCAGAAGGCATTGCTGGGCTCTTAGAATCTTAGAACAGCTCAGAAATTCCTTTATGCCACCTTGCAAGTTTCAGTGGCCTTCAAAGGGCCACCTAGCAGTTTTCTTTCCAAACTGAGCCAACTAGGAGTGTTGGTGGAAGGACATGAACAATATGGTAGGGCAAGATGTTCATTAAGTAACATGGATGCAGAGAAGTAGGGAGTATATTCTAGACATACAGTAGTCTCCGTTTCTGTTGTTTGTTTTATACTGCATTTTAGATATATTCTCCAAATAAAAATATCATTTTCCTAACCATATGTAGAGTTAACCTTTCTGACTACGTAATTGAAACAGAAAGACGTTCATTCTCTTATGACTGATTGCTTTTATTCCTAAAACCTCAGCCCACAGATTTTTTATTAAAGTTGATTTCCTTTTTCAGCAGGCACCCTTTTTTGTAAAATTTGTTTTATAGTTTAGAAGTTTTACTGGTCAGTGACGGGAACTAAGATTTTTCTTCTTGATTTTAAGTAGTTTAGGGATCACAACAGATAAATGCTTTAGGTTATTTTCAGGTATTAAATGTTGTATTAGCCATTTACATTCTAAGCGTTAGTTAAAGTCATTCTCTTTAAATTTTTTTTTTTTTTTTTTTTTATGATAGTCACACAGAGAGAGAGAGAGAGAGAGAGGCAGAGACATAGGCAGAGGGAGAGGCAGGCTCCATGCACCGGGAGCCTGACGTGGGATTCGATCCCGGGTCTCCAGGATCGCGCCCTGGGCCAAAGGCAGGCGCCAAACCGCTGCGCCACCCAGGGATCCCCAAAGTCATTCTCTTTAAATAGTGACTAACACACCAGCTTAAATGGCCTGTCTCAAGTGAGTCCCTCAATTTAAGGAAATGAGCTGCTTTTTTTTTTTAATATTATGAAATGGGTACTTCAGACTAAAACACTGTCAGTTACAGTCCTATTAGATTGAGAATTATTAAGCATTTCTAGAGTACTTTTTATTTTACTCCATGTTTCATCGCTCCTGTGGTAATTTCTCTTAAAATTTAAGAAGTCCAGTGTGTCTGAGCCAGAATGTTTGTCATATTTTTGAAACTTCGTAAAAGGTCACCACAAAGAAAGAATGAGAATTACTCTGGTTTCAAATGAATGCCCCCCCCCACATCTAAAACAGTGATCGACTTCTGTGCAAATTGATTTTTCACAGCGTATTTTATCTTGAAGAAGTATATAGCAAATTACATGTATAATAGCCACTGAAATACATTCAATTCCGGAATAAAAGGTAATGTATGTAATATCTTAAAACTAGTTAGTAAAATCCTTAGATTTCAAATAAACAAATCTTAATATTTGAGATATTCGAAATCACAGGGCCTTCCCAAATGTTCTCTACCTCAATCTTAAATAAAGTCAAATGGAAAACAGAACTTAGGTTATTCTCAACCAGAAAGGTTAAAAAAAAATTTTTTTTTTCATTTTGGCCTCTGATTTTTCAGGCAATAATTAACATAACAAAATTTTCAAAAAGTCATGTAGTATCCTGGATGTTTCACTTCAAGTAATTCTTACCTCAAATAAAATAGGATAGGAGGTGGGATAATAGAGATTTCTGGATATGCAAGAAGGAGTATGCCTTTTTCCCCAAAAGCAGATCCATTGCCTGTTATGCCCATCTTTCCTTAAATTTCTCCGTGATTTCAGGACATCTATAGAAAGAGTCTTATTTTATTGATCCATAAACTCTTGAGTTCTTTTTGTCTTTTTTTATTCCTGGATCTAAAGTCTTCTTATGAAATAATAACTGCATTCCATTAGAAGCAGTAGACAATGGTAAGATGGTCTTCAGTGTTTGCTTTATTAGTATCTGATTTGGAGTTTGTTGGTACGAGTTTGTACTTTGGGAGACTGTTTTGTGTTTTTTTTTTTTTTTTAAAGGCTAACCTTTTAAGTTTGTAGAGTAGAACACTGTTCAAAGTGGGATGTCTAATTATCATAATTGGAAGCGCATGACGATTTTTTAAAGTTATTTTTTAATGTGGTATATAAGATCTGACATAGAATTTTTATCACTTTTGATATTCTCACTTAATAGATTAAAGTCTAGCCATATTCTAAAAACTGGAAGATTTTTTTAAAAAATAAAGATTTGCAAGTAAATCCTATTTTCACATTGACTTCCTTTAATGAGATTCAGATTCTGCAGGATACAGTGACTACTAATTAGAATGTTGAAAATTACCTTAAATATATGAAAATACTAGAAAAAATAGCAACCTTCAAACCACAATGTACTTAAACCATAAGCAAAGGTAGTGTGATTTCTAGTCTCTGTTCACAAAATAGTCTTCTGTGGTTATATTCTTCATAATTGGCTCTCTGTGGTCTTAGTGACTTGGCTTTTTTTTTTTTTTTTTTTTAATCAATGCCATACTCCCTCCCTAGTCTTTTTAACTTTAAATATGAGGTAATGATTCTTTTATCCTTCCTTGATCTTTTGACTCACAATACTGTGGTTACTTGCTTGGTGAAAGGAATCCTTAAATAGAAAGAGATAGTATCACCATCTGCAATCCAATTAGTATTAATACTCAGAGTGGGAAAATAAATTATTATTGAAAATTATTTCAGGGTATATTCATTGTTAAGACCACCCCCACCCCCAGACTTGCATCATAACAGTGCCATTTTCTAGCTGTGAGATACCAGGCAAATTACTCCACCATTCTAAACCCACGCTCCTTTGTAAGTTTAGAGAAGTAATAGCACTTGCCTTATAGTGATTATGAGGCTTAGATGCAAATATATGTAAAGCATTCAGTGAGGCACCTGGCGTATAACAGGTACTCAGATGGTTGCTAATATTATCAGCCTGTGATCTGGGGGTTCAGTCAGCCAGTCATTAGCAATCTGTTGTTGTTGGGAGGACATACCAGTGTCCTGTAGTAGCCAGTTGGCAGTCAGAGAGTGGACAGGTCACTCCTAGATGAAATCCTGTGTTGGTGTCAGTGACTGCTTGGACTTGCATCATTATAACAATGGAAATGAGTTGATAGTTGGGGGAAAGTCTTCAACAAATCAACCTTACTATTTTACAATCCATATCTGAGAAATTTTGTTCATTGGAATGGTTTTTCAGCTTGATTAGAACCATAGCATGTCAAATCCAAATGGGAAATTACCTGTAGACTCAATATTTAATTGGCAAAACTGAAGCATAGTCTATATACTATAAACTATCTTCTTTTATGGATTTCGGCCATTTTTGCTTTTAAATCAGTGATGATGTTGCTAGCTTTGTAATAGTTAGCGAGTCCCCTTTCAGTGAGGCTTTTCTAGATCTCTTGGTTATTTGAGATAACTTTTTTAAAATTAGCTCTTGTCCTCCCTCTACAGGAGAATTTGCAGCCTTCAAGTAGCCACACCATCATGGCAACAACTACTCTTATTTCTTAAGTCTTGTGTTCGTACAATTTGTTAACATCAAAACACAGTTCTGTTCCTCAAATCTTTTTTTAAAGATACAGAATTTTCAATGCATAAGCTGGTGTGGAACAGAATGGAATTTCCCATCCAACAAAAGAGGGAAGAATGTTTTAGGAACCAGAATTCTCTGCTGCCAGTGTTTCTTCTTCAACACAAATACCACGTGCATACAAGTCTGCCCACTCCCAGGAAGGAAGAGGAGAGCCTGAGTTCTGACCTTTTGATGGTCAGGCATGATGGAAAGAAACTGCTGCTACAGCTTGGGAGATTGGCTGTGGAGAGCCTGCCCGTCAGCTCTGCCCTTCTAACCGCCAGATGAGTGTGTGGCTGGTCACCTGACAGGGCAGCTGCAATCGCCAAGCATCGTTCTCTTTCCTGTCCTGGGATTTTGTTGTGGAGCTCTTTCCCCCTAGTCACCACCGGTTCATTTCTGAGGGATGGAACAAAAATGCAGCATGGCCTTTCTGTGTGGTGCATGTCCGGTCTTTGACAAATTTTTATCAAGTGAAGCTCTTGTATTTAAATGGAGAATGAGAGGCGAGGGTGGGGGGATCACGTTTTGGTGTAGGGACAAAGGGAATGCTGCATCTTTTTCCTGACCCACTGGGTTTCTGGCCTTTGTTTCCTTGCTCACTGAGGGTGTCTGCCTATAACCACGCAGGCTGGAAAGTGCTGGCACACATTGCCTTCTCTTCTCACTGGGTCCAGCAATGAAGACAAGTGTTGGGGATTTTTTTTTTTTTTTTGCCCTCCACAATGTAGCAAGTTCTCAGGAAAATACAGTTAATATCTTCCTCCTAAGCTCTTCCAGTCATCAAGTACTTATGTGGCTACTTTGTCCAGGGCACAAAATGCCATGGCGGTATCCAATTAAAAGCCTACAAAACTGCTTGATAACAGTTTTGAATGTGTGAGACATTTATGTAATTTAAATGTAAGGTACAAGTTTTAATTTCTGAGTTTCTCTATTATATTTTTATTAAAAAGAAAATAATTTTCAGATTTAATTGAATTGGAATAAAATAATACTTCCCACCAGAATTATATATCCTGGAAAATTGTATTTTTGTTATATAAACAACTTTTAAAGAAAGATCATTATCCTTTTCTCTACCTAAATATGGGGAGTCTTAGCATAATGACAGATATTTATAATTTTTAAATTAATGGTACTTGCTGGATCCACACTAACATCTTTGCTAATATCTCATGTTTTCCTCCAACTTACTCCTACACTACATCCTCCATCCTCTTTCCAGTCTTTTATCTAGAATATGCAACCTAAAATAAAAATGGTGGTGTCTCCATTCATTCTCCTTCTTCCTTTTTTCCCCAAGCCTGGTCTTCAAAAGGTTGAGTAATTTGGCAGCTGAGTTCCCCGGGTAGAGAATAGCGCAATTTTATTTTTATTTATTTATTTTTTTTTAGAATAGCGCAATTTTAGTGTATTGGGTCTGAGGAAGGGTGTTTGAAACCTAACATCAGTTTTTATAGAAAGAGCTGCTGTGCAGGTATTAAAAACGTCATTCTTTTTCTTTGCATAAGTGGAAATTAGAACCCAGTTACAGCTTCATTGGCCTTTACTAAAGGGTGGCATAAACTGCAGTAGTCACAAAGAAAGTGACTCTGGATGTATTAATGGCAAAGTAATGACAAATACCTCCCTTATCATGAGTCTATAGAATCTCTTGCCAGGATTTAGGAATGTAAATCAAATCAAATGTACTTACCCCAACCAAGCAATGTAGCCAAGGACCTTAAAGATATTACACAGAACCTATAAAATAAATCAGGGAATTAGAAGTTGTTTTTTAAAAATCTCAAATTGTAACTGACCCCACTATCTTTTAGCCATTAAGCTCACTGCTGTTCGATGCTTTTTGCTAAAATATGTGTATCCAGAGGAAAGCCTACTGAAAATTCTACAGGCTTGTGAAAGATTATCCTAGTAAAATGGAAAACATCCTAAAGTTGTTAGAGTTTGAAAAGCAGTGTGTTCTTAAGTCCTACATGAGCAGAGACAATTCAGAAATTGCGAAGATTCATGCTGATTGGAAGAGCATCTTGTGTGCATAATGCTGCTTCTCTTTTAAAAGCATCTTTTTACATATGTCCCCATACATGCTTTTAAACTGGTGGTTGTATTCCCTTTACCAAGATTGGAGAGAGCTCGGTTTGAAAAGCAGCATGTCCTGCGGAGCAGCTGGCCGCTTGGCTGCAGGACACCTCCACCCCCACCCAGGGGGCAGAGGCCAGCACAGGCAGGGGTAGAGGATGACGGAGGGGAGCATAGCATTGGAAAGGTGACAGCGTTGTTTTCTTCCATCCTCTTTAGAAGAGATTGCTCTCCCTTGAAAGCAGGGAACAGACTTGGTCTCAAATGAAGTTATGTCCAGCCAGAAGTCAGGCTCAGGGTATTCTTGGGAGATTTTTATAGAGCCCTTAAAAAATAAAAATAGAATTTTAGTATTTATCCCCTTTCTTCCATCAAGTAGTTTTTTCTCTAGTTTACAAATGACATGATAAAGGGGTTTCCTCTTATTTTTTTGATGTTTAGACTACAGATAGACTTTTTGAGCTCCTAAGAAGATACAAGGAAGAACTCCTTGTTTGTGCAAAGCACTTTATGAGTCATTTGTATAGATAGAGTGTGGCTGCATCACTGACTGTCCTGAAAGATTGTAGTTGCCTGTCTTTTCCGTAAAGTGGCTGCAGTGCCTTCTATGGTGTATTTTATTTTGGGTAAGAAGAGGTGAAGCCTTCTGAAGAATTTGAGAGCAAACACAGAAGATTGTTTCAGAATATGTAGTATTCCTGATGGACTTTTTTGTCATCAAACTAGAGTCTAGGGCCTAGACTTTTGCCGCTGAAATAACATTGACCAAAAAGTAGTTTATAAAGGGGATTTGTGAATAGAAAATCCGGTGTGATCATTTGTACTTCACTGCACCTTTAAAGAAGATTCTATCTGTCAAATTCTGGTTCCTGAACATCCAGTCCCTGGTTGCACTTACGATCTTGTAGGATATGCTGGGGCATCCTAGGAGATAAAATGCCGTATGATACATACATATTATATTTTTGTTGCTGTTAGAAGAGAAAGAGCATGACATAGTTATAAAGAGGTGATGGAGACTTGAGCAGTGTCCACTGGAAACTGTAAATATTTCCTCAATTCTCCTTTGGTGCAGTTCCAGCTCTCTGGGCACACAAGGCTCTCCTCCAGTCAGCTGGGAGTGCTGCACAGGACCCCCCAGGCACCCCTCCCCAGCCTAGGGTCCACCCCATCTGGCGTCAGCTTGAAGCACACTGCAGGGTTCGGGTGACCTCTTCAAAAAACTACCTCCTCAGGATGAGGTAATGAATAGTTACTTATTTTAAAATATGAAAAGTCAGGAGCTCTAGAACATGAAGATGATTTAAGATTTTAACTTTGGCGTGTCCTTGTTATTTGAGCACTCTCATTCGGTCCTAAAGGGCATTGTGCGTTTCAGCGGTAATAACTGAAAAATGGAGCTCTGAGTTTCTGAATGTTGTTGCAAGTGGTGCCAGCATCTGTTTCTCGGGGTATGTTTCAGAATCTTCACCTTAAGTCAGTTGCATGAAATTAAGTAGTTACAGTAACAGTTCACTAACAGTGGTACAATTTTCGTTTTCAGTAGGCTTGGCAAGATAATACATCTTCATGATGAGTTAGCCACAACTTCATCACATGCACAGATACTTCTATTGAGAGACTGCCCAGCTAAAAAGATAGATGATTCCCCATGATTCTCTTCTTTGTCTAAGGTTGGCAGTGTTAGCACTAGAAAATCAGTACCTTGGGACTAGCAGATTTCAACCAATAGGCTATTAAAAAAAAAAAAAAAAGTAACCGTACATGGAAAGTTTACTGAGTATAAACAGCAAATAGCTTACAGGTCATACGTTGACATGGTGTAGGTGAGGCTCTAGAAAAATACCTTGACAATTTGCCAAATGATCTTTACTGTGCCTTCACGATGCAATAAAAAAATTCTAAAAAAAAAGGCTAAAATTTTAGCAGAAATCAGTGATTTGTGAAGAGAGCAGCCACTCTAGTCCAACTCAGCTGTGTTAATATTTTTTAGAGCGCAATTTAGACTGCAGAGACATGCACTAAAGGGTTTATAGCCAAAATCATTTAAAAAATGAGAAAACACAGGTAAATTTTCAGTGAACAAAATTATTTTTTTAAAGTACATAATCCCTAGTAGAGTCAGATATATTTATCACATAGAGCAACTAGGTTGAAAATTATAGTTCAGTGACATTTCTAGAGAAACTTTTTCTACTCCATAGGTTCTTCAAAGCATGGAACTTTTATATAACAGAAATGTTGGACAGACATTTTAAGGAATTGGTGTAGTTTGGGCGTCAGAAGTGCTATATGCTGGGCAGCAAACACTTCTCGAGCGTGAGAAGGAGGAAGCTAACATAGAGGACAGGATTTGATTTTATCAGTTTCCAGAGTACTGCTGCCAACCTAAACAGTGATTTTTCAGATTTTAAAATGTAAACTTGCCTCCCAGGACATGTTTGCAAATTATGTGGAACTGTCCTGCTGATGGTGTTCAGGGTGCCGTAGGAACCAGGTGGGGCATTGGAATAGTTAATGACGTGGCTGGTGGGCGTGAATTAGACACACATCATGGTGTGCTTTTTGTACCTTGCATTTCTTGCCACCCCCAGGTAAAGGTAGTGCACTGTCCAGCAAGTTCCCGGATGTTTTACTAAGTTGTATTACTGATGCCCATAGGTTGTTGAGCACCCAAGGAGTGCAGTAGCATCTCTGCCTGATTTGTATATTGGCCAGGGGAGAATGAAGTGGCCAGTATTGCTAGCTCTGGTAAAATTGAAAATATTGGTAAGGTTTTTGTTTCATCAGCACACTAGAGAGTAAGCTTTGTTTTGTCTTAGTTCTCCTAGGCTCATATCTTTTCAGATAACTTATTTTCACTTCTCTTCAAGCAAAGACATTGAAATTGAAATTTAGTCCTAAATTTTGCCAGTGGCAGAAAGGTTAATTAACAGTTTCTATCGGGATTTTTAAGGTAGAGGAGGACAGAAACATGAAGTCTTAAAATATTTAAGATAACACTGCCTCAACGTGCACAGGGATGGTTCATCCTCACCTCAAAGTGATTAAGTAGATCTTTTATTTCAACATCCACAACTCTCAAGCTGTTAATATTTTAATCCTTTTTTATTTAATTTTTTTTACCCTTTGACTCCCTTTACCCAACTGTTAATTTAGTTTTAGTAATTACTAAATTAGTTTTATTAAAATGTTTAATTTTATTAAAATGTATAATTTTATTTAACAAAATTCTGTTTTGACTAATTACAGTGATGTAACCAGTTATGCATGAGGACACAGCCAATGTATCTGGGGTGTGTGTGTGTGTGTGTGTGTGTGTGTGTGTGTGTGTGATGAGTTTGTTTTCTAAGAATTTTGTAGATTGAAGTACTCTTGGCAAACAACTGAAATGTTTATTTGTGTTAGTATCAAAAACAAGATTTGTGCAAACCATCTGCCTCTCCGGCAGGCTGAGCATCTTGTCCAGCACTCCCGAGCAGCTGGCTCTCGTCACAGGCTGTAGGGAATTGGGCAGGAAGTTGGCTGAAGAGATGCAGCAGGGGAAGGGCTTCATTTACTGGGGTGCGTTGTGGATGGGGGTTCTAAGTTGCCTATTAGTACCAGCTTTGTGTTGAAAATTATTCTGTGTTGCATTTGTGTGTTAAGCCTTTTTTAACCCACATGTATCTTGGTGGAATAAACTTCAGATTAGCATAAACAGCAAAGCTCACAGAGTAGGCACAAATGTAGAGAAAGTGGACCAAAATGGGCTGGGTGGGGGGAGGGTGTGGGAGTAAGTCTGGGGCTAGGGAAGAACTGATGTGATGGTGGGAAATAAACTATAATTACCTGAAATGTAAGAGTGCAATAAGTGTGCTTTTTATTCTAAGCTGTGAACAGTTTAAAAAACGAACATTCCTTCCTAATACATTTGTGTATGTTCCATAGCTGATTAAAACCAGCTATGTAAACATAGAATCCCTTTTTATTCTTAATTACCAACATGAGTGGCTAAACTTTATGTCTTATTTATCTTCATGTTACATTAGTTTACATACGGGAGTGTGCGTGCGTGCATGTCCGTCCACGTGTGTGTGTGCGCGCGCACTGTACCCTTTCCCTCCTTCATCTGGAAATGAATTCATTGGGTCCTCTTGTTCTTCCTTTGGCCATGCCACAGGTTATGGTCTTGACTTAGCCTTCATGATCCTGCCTGATTTCAAGGACTCTTATCACAGTGATACGTTTTTGTGGTGATCTCCTCTGTTGGTTGTACACTCGGACCCTTCCTCACTCAGCGGTTGCCGCCTTAGGAGCGCACAGCTGATCAGGGGCTCAAATCTGACCATTCCTCAATATAGGTCCCGTTGAATTCTAGGTCAGTACTTAGGATTGCTCTTTGGTTTAAACCAAGAAAAAAGGAAAACACCCTCCCCCCATTTTCATTTACTTCTTGGTTTGAGGACAATTCTTCTGTAAGGGAGAGGAAAGGGAAATCCTTCATGTTTTAACCACAGTGAATCAATGTCTCCTGGTTTCCCACTCCAAACCTAATGGCGATTCACATATATACATTCCTCTCTCGCTCGCTGCCAAAGGTTTGGGTTTAGTTCACTTCAGTTCCACTCGAGCATTGAAAAGATTCTCATGGAGTCTGGGGTGTGCCCAGTGAAAAAAAAATGGGGACTTTTAAATTGTCCACAGACCTCTTTATACCTGCTTTGCAAAAATTACAATGGAGTAACTATTTTTAAAGCTTATTTTTCAATTCATAAAAAAAGACATTTATTTTCAGTCAAATGGATGATGTCTCCCTCTTGTCCCTTTCTTAACCCTCAATGTTTGCTTGAATCTTTTTTTTTCCCCCTTAATTCCTCCCCCTACCCACTTCTTGATACTTTGGTTCTTTCCTGCTCAGGTCCCTTCATTTGTACTTTGGAGTTTTTCTCATGTAAATTTGTACAATGGAAAATATTGTTCAGTTTGGATAGAAAGCATGGAGAATTAAAAAAAGATAGCTGAAATTCAGATTGAAGAGATTTATTTCTGTGTAAAGTTATTTAAAAACTCTGTATTATATAAAAGGCAAAAAGTTCTATGTACTTGATGTGAATATGCGAATACTGCTATAATAAAGATTGACTGCATGGAGAAGCCTTTATTAAGATTCTTCTTCTAGCACCATCACATTCAACAGCGTCAGTAGTCAGGATCCTGACAGTTCTTCCAGGCAACGCGGAGACGGAGAAATCTGTTTCATATATGTCACTTACTGCTTTTTGGGTAGAAGTTACTTGTATGGAAAAAAAAAAATTTTTTTTTTAAATATTCTTTAAGTTGTCGAGATGAGCGCCTGCTATGTTGTATGCACTCCTGTGGTGGGGACAGCCTTCTTTCCAGTGTTGGTGATGCCCTTCAAATACTCTCTCCTGCTGTGACCTGACTGCACCCCTGCAGGGGGCTCAGCTCAAGTGTTTGCCCTAATTGAGTCACTGAAGGAGTCTTGTCAGAAGTTCCCCTTAAAATTGTATCTTTACACGCTTTTTTGACACAATTTCTAATACATTTGCTGTAGGAACACAGAATGTTCACAGACGTAAATATTTGAAACTGTGCACTTGTATTTTACACTTTTTTAAAAATGCTAGTTATCCCAATGAGTTGTGTCTGTGTGATTTCTGAAGTTTGAAAGAGCCCTAGAATAACTTCAAGCTATGTCAGATAACCAGGCAGTTTCCAGAAGAGGAGTAAACCCCTATTTTATTTATTTTCATTCATGAGAGACAGGCAGACACAGGCAGAGGGAGAAGCAGGCTCCCTACAGGGAGCCCGATGTGGGACTCGATCCCGGGACTCCAGGATCATACCCTGAACCAAAGGCAGATGATCAACCACTGAGCCACCCAGGCGCCCCAGGAGTAAATCATTTTAAAACTTCATCTGGAAACCATACGTCCAAGAACAGGAAGGACAGAAAAGTCTTCAGGACAGCACATTATTTATTCTGAAATTTTGTCAGGGGCTGTGATAATTGGATCTGCTCCCTGGGTTCTACAGTCCTAGGCTCATAAAATGTGTGTGCAGAAGGAATCCTTAAGGACATTCCGGTCCAAGTCCCCTCACTGTCAGTCACTGACTGGGAATCCCCAGGGATGACTTCCTAGCTCACGTAGCCAAGACTCAGGACTGCTGTTTTCAACATCAGTTGTATGCGCTATGGATTTACCATACATAAGCAAAGTGTATATGAAATATACCTATTTATAATTGTTACGGTTGTAGTGGCTATAACAAAATATGGATAGAAATGAGGTTGACTCCATGGCACTGAGTCCATAGCTGGAAACGAATGTGGTGCCAGGCATTCTCCACTCACCCCTGCGCAGGTAAGTGACAAAAGGCAAGGGCCTAGGTGCTGAGGCAGGTGCGTTCCAGCCCAGGCTGCTCCGGTGTCCTCCGCTACCTACACTGGTCCCACTGACGCTTCCGAGGTGGTGGCAGTGGGCAACCAGGTCACCTTTTCCACAGAACAGTCTTGGGGGCAAGCAGAGCCACGATGACTTCTGTACCTTCCTGGAACACGCACACAACCAGGTGTTCCTTATATGGTGCCTCCCCTGTTATTTGCACTCAAGGTTCCATAGGAAACAAAGTTATAAGTGTTAAAATGTGAGGTTTGAGCTCTCTTGCCATGGGTAATTTCTTCACCACCTGCCTTTCCATTTGAGAGGATAGGGCTCTGCTCGCCATCTGTCAGGCCACACCTAGCATTTACTGGAGCACGAGACATTCTAAGTGTGGTTGTTTGGCAGTGGAGACGGGCGGCACTGCATCTGCTGGAGTATGTTCACATGCTTAGTCTGGGGCTTTTCCGTAAAAATCAGCCACAGATTCAAGGGTCGCTATAAACTTAGCTTTTAAGTGGTCTAGCAACGAAGTAACGGTTGCTTCCATTTAGAGAGTATTTCCTTCGTAGCAGGTGTGGTTCTGAGGGCTTTACAGGCTAATAATGCATTTAATCTAATCCCTTTTACAAATCAGGAAGTTGAAGAGATCAAGTAAGTAATCTGCTCGAGAAGTCACACCAAGTAAATGGTAAAGCAATGAGTCAGATCCAGCAAGTCAGACTCCAGAGCCTGGATTCTTTAAGCACTGTGCCAGTTTTTCAAACTGCAGGTTGAGTCCTATTAGTGGGTAGTAGAATCCGTCTCAAGCATTTTGTAAGTAGGCCAGAGTAAGAGAAAGTATCAGTGTGTATCACAGCTAAATACTGTTTCATGAAACTTTTGGATTATATACATACACAAAGGCATGGACTCTAGGTCAAAATGTAAAATTATTTGTGAGTAGGTCATGATCAGAGGTTTACATATGCTGTACGGACTCGGATGGTCTGACTTGCCCAGAGCCAGCCAACCAGATCAGCTCTGAACCTCAACCCTACCTGTATGACTTGGTTGGGCAAGTCATCCATCTACAGCTCAGCATCCTTATCTATCGAAGGGGAAGAGGGGCGCCTGGGGGGCTCAGTTGGTTAAGCACCTGCCTTCAGCTCAGGTCATGATCCCGGGGTCCTGGGATCAAGCCCCAAATCAGGCTCCCTGCTCCGCAGGGAGCCTGCTTCTCCCTCTCCCTCTGCTTGTGCTGTCAAATACAATCTTTAAAATAAAAAAATGGGAAGAATGTACACTTAATTAGAATTAACACATGCAAAGTGTTTACCACAGTACCAGGCCCATGTAAGCCCCGAGTTTTTTCTATACGACTATATATAATCGTCAATCAAATATACTTAACATCTTTTTGGGGCCCTCTCCCACTTTATTTTCCCATAAGCTGTACAGCGGACCCTCGACCATGGGTTTGAGCTGTGCCGGTCCACTTATACATGACTGTTTTTGATAAATGTAGTACAGTCCTGTAGATGTATTTCCTGTTCCTTAGGAATTGTTCTCTGGCTTTAAGAGAACTAAGTATGTAATACGTATAATGTACAAAACAGTTTGAGTCTCTGTGTATGTTCTCAATAAGGCTTCCAGTCAGCAGTAAGCTGTAAGGTTTTGGGGGGGAGCCAAAAGTGGTACCTGAACTTGTGACTGCTCGGGGCTGGCACCCCAACCTCTGGTGCTTCAAGTCAAATGTGACAGGATGGAGGTCGTCACCTGGAGAGAAGGCTGGAGACGACTCCGGCATCAGCTCAAATATGAAAAGGAGGATCCAGTATGTGGAGACCACACTGGCTGAGTTTTAAAAAGACTGCGGTTTTTAAAGTTACCTTTAATTCAAATCAAGCAACTCTGAAAGGTTTCTAAGGAAAAGAGCTAGCGGGATTATCCTGAGTACACGGTTGCAGTGAGTACACACGAGTAAAACGCTTTGTTGGCCAACAAAACTTAGACCTAAAAAGTACAGGAAAGAGATGGCCTTTTAAAGATCTGCCCTATTTTCAGCTGAGCTGAGTGCGCTTACTCTTACCCACGTGAGTGAACACAAAACAGAGAAGTGTCTCCGCACCGCTGCACCGGGCCCGACTGCTGAGCTGCCAGTGGAGTGGGAGGACCTGTTCACGGTGCATCAACCTTGCTGTCACTGTGTCCACTGACACCTGAGGAGAACCAGTGGGGGCCTGGGAACCCAAGGATCACCCATGTTCAGAGCCTGCCAGAGGCTTCTCACTTGACATATAAACCCTAAACCTGTGGCCATGACCTACCAAGCTCATCTAGTCCCCATCGCCTCACCTGCTAGAACCCCACTGGACTTTGTGTTCCTCAGTGACCCTGGTCCCAACCTAGACCTTGGTTCTCACTGTTCCCTGTCCCCGAAGCACTTTCCCTTCCCCTTAGACCCTCGCACAACTGGTTCCTCCCACTTGTTCAGGTCCCACCCACCCAAAAGATCAGTACCCACCTCTCTCTAGCACATCACCCGTTACTTCCTTCAGGGCACTTAGTAAATCTCAATCAGTGTCTGTCTCCCCTTCCTAAACTCTAGGTTCCTTAAGAACTGAATCCTTGGGACTCCTGGGTGGCTCAGTGGTTGAGCGTCTGCCTTTAGCCCAGGGCATGATCCTGGGGGTCCAGGATCGAGTCCCACATCTGGCTCCCTGCACAGAGCCTGCTTCTCCCTCTGCCTGTGTCTCTGCCTCTCTCTTGGTCTCTTGTGAATAGTATCTTTAAAAAAATAAATAACTGAATCCTCTCATCTGCCATATTTAGCATTATATTCCCAACACTTCAGTGGTCAAAAACCTAAATTAAAAATATGAATAAAAAATAAATGAAATAAAAAAATAAAAATATGAATAGTTCTGCTTCTGGGCAAGTCCTTAAGCCACTCTACACTGCAGATTTTTATCTATGAATAACAGAAAATTCTGTCCTACCTACTCAGAACTGCTACGCTACAGAAAGTTCAAAAGTACTTTGAAAGACATTTTAGAAAAAGTGGAGGGATCCCTGGGTGGCGCAGAGGTTTGGCGCCTGCCTTTGGCCTAGGGCACGATCCTGGAGACCTGGGATCGAATCCCACGTCGGGTTCCCTGTGTGGAGCCTGCTTCTCCCTCTGCCTGTGTCTCTGCCTCTCTCTCTCTCTCTGTGTGACTATCATAAATAAATAATTTAAAATAAAAAAAAAATAAAAATAAAAAAGAAAAAGTGGAATATCCTATTTCCCCCATATCTCCCATTCCTCCAGCCCTAAGAATTACTAGTTGGACATGTGTCTTAGGTCCACAAATGGCCATGCAGCACAACACCCAGCCCACAAGAGATACATAAATACAAGAAATGGACCACATGGACCTCTTAACCTCTGTGTATCAGGGCAAGACAACACCAGCAGCAGAGAAACAGCAAGAGTTTTCACGCTGTCCACATACATATGACTAAGACATCCACCAGGAGAAGGCTGCACGGCACTGCAGCTAAGTGCTGGTAACAACTAACGTCGCTGCCCATCAACGTGTGACCCTCAGGCAAAGCTACTTCATCTCCTTGAGCCTGAACTGCCTGAGAAATGGAGCTAATGTCTGTCTACACCGTGGGGTACCCCAGAGGATCCACTGAAAGGGCCTGGAACCTGTCAGGACAGCAGCTGGGAACACAGGAAATAATCCATAGGGGTAGTTGTCATTATCAGAAACATCCATGACTCAGTT